GGGTTCTTTTTATATTTTAAACAGACCATCAGCGAAATCATCACTTCACTCTTAAGTCCTCGAAGGGACAGATTTAGAAGCAGAGGTAAGGGAAGAAGTGGAGAGTGTGTGGTTGAGGATAGAGGAGGAGGAGGAAGGTTTGGAGGTGGCGGAGATGAAGTTGAAGACAATGTTGTCGAGACAGGAGGAGTGTTGGAGTATGGAGAAGATGGCGGCCATGGAAATTTAAAGGAAGGGGAGGTCCAAGGTCATAGCGACGTAGGTGGCGGCAACGGCAGCAATGTCGGAGGTGGGGCAGATTGGGAGAGTTGTGGAATTGAGGGGCTTGTTCGAACTTTGAAGTGAAGAGTGAGTAGCAGTGGCATTGGTGGGTGAGAAGAGGGAAGTGATCAACGATTCGAGCGGGGATCATTTTATGGGTCTATCTATTTCAATTTTCAAAGGTTGGTTTTTAGCCTGGGCTCGTGAATTGGTCAATTATTACACTGTATAGCAATCACTACTAAGGTAGATCAATATAATTGACGAGAAGTAAACGCTAACTCATTAAATATAGCAAAATCAAATTGATCGGTAAGCACCGTGAAACGAGGCACACTTCGTCCCTGCTTACGCTAGTTATTTACCTGAAGACAAACAAAGAAACGAAAACATGAAGCAACAGAAACACCGGATGGAAGATTTTTAGCTCATATAGAGCCCACTAAGGTAAGAAACGCTAGTCCGAGGAAACCAATCATCACTCTGCAGAAAGTTTAAAACTGTGAAGTTAGCTGCAAGGAGACATTGCTTTTGCTAATTCAAATTGAAGGGTGATATATATAGAAAATCGGTCTTTTTCCAGCATTAATCACATGATAACCCCACCACGTCACTCTACTACTATTATAAGCTCCAGGTCCCCGGTTATTAAACCCTGCGTAATACACAATGTCGAGTGCAAAATCCCCACTTCATGTAGACCACTCTGCAGGGTTAGTCAGACTATTCATTAATGATTGCTTCACAATTATCCTCGAATACTTTTATCATGGCCTTCCAAGATAAGTCTTTACATTGCCACCACTCGCAGCTAAGTCGTCTACAGCTTTGATGGTGTAGTTGTTGATGGAAATGCATGTGTTCTGATTTGGGTCTACTCGTCCCTAATCAGTGATGGGATTCAACTGTCCCTTTGATGGAAGGCGAGTGTATATGTTGTAGCTTTGCAGAACAACAGTTGAGTTTCCAAGTATGAAATCTATTGTGCCGTAAATATCGCATTCCTCTCTATAAAACTGCCCCAGTCAATGTGGATACAGAGTGTCTTGGTACCCCTCAAAGCTGCACCTGTACAATGTGGATTGGTCTGCCCCGCTTCTCATTGCCATTGCTTGAAACTTGCCTGGCCCTGTCGTGTTTCTGAATGTCATATGTGTTGCTACAAACCCCGGTGCTACCACAACTGCAATTCAATGCAAAATCTCATTTCTGGCCTCTCAATATGATTTCAGTATCATTGTGTAACACCTAAATGATTATTTTCTTACCAAATGTCAGTGAATTGAATGTTGTCCAGCCATCGTCGACCCTGTGATTGCCTATGATGATTGTGCTTTTAATTCCATCTCCGACCATCATGAGAAACAGCTTGTGACATGACAGGGATGGACACGTATTCTTCATACACGCCCTCTGTGATATAAATCAAGAAATAACCATCACTTGCTTCATTGTTAACAAGAGCTGCAATGACAACGTCGTTGATAGTGGAGAAATTTCCACTCCCGTCTTAACTCAACTACTATGTCATTAATCAAAACACTCTCTTTCTCATCTTCATCATCTAAATGCTTCCTTTTGCCTCTAATTGAGTCGTAGATGGCTCTTGTTCGGTTTGAAATCTTTAAAGGTAAACGATCATTTCGTAAACCTGGATGCCACCCTTTGAAATCCCAGCTTCTCTTGCTCTTTTCCTCACGCACCCACCCTTTCGCAAACAGAGCCAGGGACAAACTCTGGAGCCTAGTGTCGTCAGAGAGTTGGCCAAAAGGCCCATTCTTAATGCTCAAATCGGAAGTCGTGCTCATTTCGCCGGACTTGGATAAGTACTCCACATTAAGTTCAGACAGAAAATATGCAGTCTTGAATTGCACGAATCGTGCCTTGTGATGAGGTTGAGTGATTAAGAAGATAAAACTTGACAGAGTTGGAAAGCTTTCGGGCCTGAAATAACAATTTTTGAATGGAGAACCTGCCAAAAGCGTGCATTTTAGCGGGTTGCCTTGGAAGTAAGGGTCTGTAGTAAGATGGGTTTGGGGTGATCTTGCATATGGTGTCTAGAGGAACAGGGTTAATTTTGAATTCATCTAAAACAACTAGGACTATGAAGAAGGAAAGAAGAAGGAAAGTCGACAATGTGGCATGGAAGAAGTCTTTAGAAGCCATTATTATGGTGGTAAATGACAAAATTTTTGCAGTGAGTTTGCTGGTTTTTTTAGATCCCATTTATGGTGAAAAGGCCCGAGATCTGCGATTAACTCATTAAGTTAACTCAGTGCTGGATTCTAAGTGATTAAAAAAATTGACTAGGACTTAAGCCAAGTGTGGGTCTAACATATCTTTTAATATTATAATGGTGCTTAATGCATATAAGTATCTTTTTGAATATGAGCACTCAGTCAAACTCCACCCGTGAGCATTGCATCGAAGTGAACTTGCTATTAACAAAGTGGCTTCCATGAAGAGGCTGCGTAGATAGAAGAAATGCTATGTCACTAACAAAATATTCTGAAGATGTATTTCAATCGTGCCGGGGAACGTATGTATTGCAGTTTAAGGATGATACGTAGGCTGAGGGTGAGCAAGTATAGTCACTTTGTCAACATTGCATTTGGTAAGATCAAAGGTTTCTCCACTTCTTTTTCTCCATTTTCCTCCATTTCTCCCATCTTTAACCACACATGTTATTTTATTAAATGAATTTTTTAAAATTATAGAATTGATGAATGTTGAAATGGGAAAAGTGGAGGGAAATGAATAAAAGAAATGGAAAGGTTCCTCTCCCTATTTGATGCGGAAGTCACACTCATGATTTCCTACTATAAGAAGACAACTGTAAGATATTATAGGAAAATGTGTGACACTCTATGTTGCAAGGTTGTCCTTCCCTTTCTATGAGCTAGAGAAAAATTTTCTGTCATAATTAGTTTTGAATTATTTATAGCGTATTGGGCATTTAAGAAGAAAAATACTAATTCCTAAATGAAAATATTTTGAAGAGCAATAGTAGTTGAGCCAAGGGAAAAAGAGAGAACACTCTCACAAATATAAAGTGCCACTGACTAGACATTTCAGGCTAACAAGTTGTCGACACAATCATTTTCAACATCTGTCATACATGTGTGGACAATCTATAGTCTTGGATTTTTGGACCTTCTAAGCACGATGGTAATGTATGCTTCACTTGAAGTTGACCAAAAACAGGTGTTCAACAGTGGCAATGGCAAACTGACCTCTATAACCTCACCTTTTCAGGTCAAACTCATACCTCCTTGTCTCTCAGTCACTTCCCATCAGACTTGTAACCTTGCTCTGATACCAAACTGGGTCAGGAGCCAAATGAGAAAAAGAAAACAATCTCACTTTGATAAAAAAAATTATATTATTCTTTCTCGATTCCAAATATAATTGAATGAGGGCTATTTATACTAGTTTTAAGTAGGCAAAAAATTAATGCAAATGTATAGTTATGGAACAACTTAATTCTAAATGGAGAGAGTTATGGGATTTAAAAGTATTTAAAAGCATTTTTTAGGAGCTTATGAAAGTTATAAATACTTATTATAATTTATGGATAAAAAAGTTATGAAAATAGCAAAGGTCATGAAGATGAAGCATCTAATTCTGTCTCAAATAATCCCGTGATTCTAGTTGTCTGTTTTTGTTTGTTCGGACCATTATGATGCAATGCGTGGTTCCCCCTCCATTTTTACCCAACATTGTTCTAGTTTGAAAAAGTGTCGCTTGACAACTCCGAGTTGAGCTTGTTCGACGGTGTTATTGGAGTTGTTCAATTGGAGTAAGGCATTTTTGTCCACTCTCATTTTTTATTTGTACATGTCATCCTTATGTAAGGGTCACGTTAATCTTCTGTGTATCATTTCAAATTCATCGGATGTTTCAGAAGGGACTGTCCAATCAGACCAATCCCATTCAGTTTCAACTCTAAAGCCCAAAGTGTCTTCTAATTTCCTAGGATTCTTCATGCTCGCTACGACCACATCATGCATTTCTTACTCTCTGGATATTGTTAAATGTTGATGCATGATGCATCGTTTTCACCTCTGAACTCAATTGGCTGCAATTACGTCTTGGTAATCCATACAAGTCAACGGCGTTTACCTTTTTACCCAGCCTAAAATAGAGAAGGGGAAAATAACAGTGAAAGATTGCACAAGCGTCGGTTCCCCGATCGAGATATCAACTTCACAACACAGGCTCCACAAAAGCCCACCTGTATCGGCCCGCGACATGTAAACTCAATTTATTCCTTTTTCATGGAAGACGCTCTCGGTTTGAAGTTAGGAATTAGTAACGTTTCATAATCAAGAATTTGTGTTGCATGGATATACTCGTTAGCAGTAGTTTAAGATTTGCATTTTGCTTAGCCACCTCCCCGTCTTGTCAGGAGGGAATAGGCTCTACTCTCTCTCCAACGGGGAGACGCAACTAATCAAGAGTCTCCCTCTAAATCAAACCAACTGAAACGTGTGGCAAAAGTTATACACATTTCAGCCACGTCATCGCACCACCTGTAGGACCCCCGAGAGCATTTATCCTGCTTCGCTTCTTTCACAGGTGAAGCCACCAGATAAAGAAATTTTAGATTCAAACTGTTACGTCTTCCCATACGGCTACTCAGTGCGTCAAAGTAAATGCAAAACGCTGTCATTTCGAATTACTTTTGTCCCGTGATCAAGTAATGGAGCACAGACCACTATCCCATTTTATAACCCCGCGGCAGTACACCATGTTGGAGCCAAAATGATTGAAGCTGTCACACATTCTGTCCTCGGTCGAAGCCTCGAGGTACCACTTTCACTTTAGTTATCAGGTAATAATGTCGAGGTTCATTGCATGTGAGGTGAGTACATCCAAAAAGAGCCTTCATAAAGTTTCATACCATCTCTGTGATCAGATCACGGGCAAACCTCAAATTAACCACGCCTATTTTGATCCAGCCTCTCTTCTCATTCTCCGAATAGCAAAATCCCACTACTCTCTGTTCCTCACTCGCTCACTTTCTCCCTCTTTCCAAATTTCACCATGTATAACCTCAGCAGCAGGACAGCCCTTTCGCTCGCTCTCGTACTCATTTTCTCCCTCGCCTTTGTGCTTCACCTTTTTCCTCCCCATCACACCAGCCACCCCAAAACACACCTCCATTTCCAAAAGCACCTGCAAGTCGCCCAAACCACATGCCGAGGAACACTCTACCCACGACTCTGCGTTTCAACCCTTGCTTCCTTTCCCGATCTTGCCTCCAAATCTGTCCCCCAAATCATTTCCTCTGTCATCAATCACGCGGTGTCCGAGGTGAAATCCTCCTCCCACGACTGCAGTGGCCTCCGAAACAACCTCAGGAATCTCGAGCCGCTCGAACAGAGAGCCCTCGACGATTGTCTCCAGCTGTTTGATGACACTGTCTACGAGCTCGGCACCACTACGGCTGATCTCTCCAACGCCAAAATAGGCTTCAAGCGTTACCGTGACTTGCAGACACTGCTAAGCGGGGCAATGACTAACCTGTACACGTGTCTTGATGGATTTGCTCATAGCCGGGGGAATGTCAGAGACAGGATCCAGGACAGGTTATTCGAGACCAGGCGTCATGTTAGCAATTCATTGGCCATGCTCAAGAAAGTGCCCGGACTGAAGAAAGCTTCCGAGACCGAGATCTTCCCGGGGTATGGAAACGTGAAAAATGGGTTCCCTTCGTGGTTGTCTTCTAGAGAACGAAAGCTCCTGGAGGCAAATGTGAATGAGACGAGGTTCGATCTTGTGGTGGCGAGAGATGGCACGGGCAATTTCACCACTATTGGGGAGGCTGTGAATGCAGCTCCGAACTCCAGCATGACCAGGCAAGCACGTTGTTATTTTCTATCGTGTATACATTTCTCTTTTGGGCTGAGCGAATGATTGTTAGCAAAGGTGTTTGATTTTGTACGACAGGATTGTGATACACATAAAAGCCGGGGCGTACTTTGAGAATGTGGAGGTGATCAGGAAAAAGACCAATTTAATGTTCGTCGGGGATGGAATTGGGAAGACGGTTGTGAAAGCCAGTAGGAATGTCTTAGACGGATGGACAACTTTTCAGTCGGCCACCGTAGGTGCGTCTCACACACTTTTTTCCTCTTCACATTTTGCTTCGTTTAGTCCTCTGTTATTAATTATCTCCTGTTGGTAGTAGGTTAAGATCATGAATCAATGAATTGTCCATCTACACATTTAATAATTCTAGTTTTAGAAGAATTGAAGTTAAAATATCTGAACAAACCGGGCAGCTGGCGTAATAACGAGTGAGATTCAGTATGTATGCATGCGGTGCACTTCTTAAAAATCAGTACATAAAAGAGTAACAGAAGATTGTGGAAAAGACAACAAAAGAGGAACTTGACAATGGAATCATAGGTACAAAGATTTTGGGTTTATCAAGGTCCATATATTCCAGCACCCCTGCAATATCTAGCAATTAATTGTAAGTTCCGTATAGTAGGCAGATGGTATGGATTTAAGCATAGGGAAAATATTAAAAGAAGAAAAAGGTCTGGCTGCTTTATTGTTTTGGACGATTCGCTTGGCCTTAGTTGGATGCTGAAAGAGGAGGGCGATAGATTGAATTACTAAATGATTTGGACTTTATTGTAGGGTCCATGCATGCACGTATTCTTTCTTTATTATCTGCAGCCGAAGGCGAACTTGAGTCTAAAGAAGACAAAACAATGTCAAGTGGATATTGATTCATAATTTCAAAAAACATTAGTAAGTTTTAACGTTTAAGTTTTTTTGTCATTAAAAAAATAAAAGGAAAATTTGATAATTATGTTTCAAAAGATTAAATTAATGATGATTAAGTCTTGATAAATTTTTTCAAAATTAAATTTTAAACATCGATTCTTACAGACTTAAACAAAAATATTAGTTACAATCTGAATATTATAGTTAAATAGTAGATGTCTAATATGTAATTAAAATTTTTGAACTTACAATTATTTAAGTCAATATTTTTAATTCATTTTTAAAAAATTGTTGAAATCTAATTTTCATTAATTTAATATTTTAAGATTTAACATTCATTTGAAATTTAAAAAAACAAAAAAACATATGTTTGCTGACCCAAGACATTCAAATTTTACCATCAAACGGTAAAGCCCACAGGGTATTGGGATTTGTAAAAACTAGTATGGTTCAAAAGACCTCCTTTTTACCTGTGAAACCTCTTCCGAAAAAAGATCCCACTTGAGTGAGATTTGAATTAGTCTGAAGTAAATTGCATTGCCCGTGATCAATAAAGACTGGTAACACATTTTTTGTCCCTGTCTGCGCTTTTTCCAGTGTTACCAAATTAAGATTTTACATAATCTTGAATCTTGACGGCATGATCAATCGCACCTGTAGTCATATCTGTTTCTTAAAAAAAAAATGAAGTTAGTTTTCAAGAGATTTCCAAAATTGGGTATTTATAACTTGGGATTGATTTAACTATACTTCATTTTATTTTATTGGACAAGTTGCGATAATTATGTAGTTATTTACTTCCAATCACTTGCCTTCAAGTATACCTCGAATTAAGGGTGAGCAAAACCGAACTGAATCGAATTTTGTCTATTTGATTCGGTCTATTTAATTTTTCGATTCGATTCGATTTTTTTATTTTAAATATTTTGGTTGATTAGTTCGATTTGGTTAGTAAAATTTAAAATCGAATAGACCGAATCAACCGAATTACATATAATTTATTAATTTATAAATTATATTTAATTTATAAATTATTTTATTTTATTTTATTTTTTATTTTAATAAAGAATAAAAAATAATAACATCACTTGAAAGTTTAAACCCTATTTCGGTCAATCACTCTCATCAATAGATGTTGTGACCAGATTATGGTGTTGTGATTGAATTATGGGACCATTATTTGATCATCGATGTTTATTTGTGGTTGTTTATTTAATTATTCATGACTTTGTAATATTTGGGCTTTATGTCATATGGGTATAATTAAAATAGGCTTACATTGTTAAAAATTAATAAAAAAGGCTCAATTTTGTAGTGTTGTTTGTTTTAATATTTAAAAAAATGTGCCTAATTTCAATAGCCCAATATAAAATAAAAAAATTAAATTAACTGACCGAACCAAATTATCAAATTTCGGTTTGATTGGTTTGTTTGGTTCGATTTGGTTTTTATTTTCAATGTTATTCAATCAATCAGTTCTGCATATTTTGAGACTGAACCGAACCAAATCGATCAATGTTCACCCCTACCTCGAATGATTAAAAGTTTGGGTAAAATTGTTAATCATATCAATGAAAGCATAATTAAAAATAAGAATTTTTATAAATATAACTCATGTCATAGGATCAGACCAAACAAATGGTTTAATATTTATTATATTTTATATTATGATAGGTTTATTATATTTGTCAATAACATATCATTGTATATTAATAATAAAGGTCTTATAAATTTTTAAATTTTTAAAATTTTTGCACAAATTTTTTGGGTGCAAAAATTTTTCAATTAGGGGGCCAATTTATCCTAGAATATTAACATATTCTTTGTCAACCAAAATAATCTAATAATTTTCTTAATTTATATAAAATATATCCCTTTTAATCTCAATTATAACACACTTTTACAAGTATTCTTTGGTTCTTACAAGGTATTTGATAAAAATATTAATTATAATTTTTAAATATTATCCCTATATCATGAAAGATAAAAGAGAATGATGTACAGTTTGAAAGAAAATTTTATGTTTAAATAAACATAACTTCAAGATTTTAATCTATTTTTAAAGTTAACCATTTAATTAATTCTTGATTTGATGACAAAATTTTATAATAATAGGGATGGAATGGATAATGAAATAATGGAGTGGAGGGAGAAATGCCTTCAACCGACTTAATCATAATCTAATCTACACTTAATATTCTTCTGAGTTGCCGACGCCATATCACATCACTAGGATTAGGGAGGACAAAACGACACGACAGCCAACAGTATATTGGAATTAGGAGCCGTCATTTTTTTTTGGAAAGGAGAGCCTTAATAATTTATGCATTTGTGTTGGACCAACCCATTTGGGCCACGTGTAATTGGAGGAGAATTCCACGCGGATGGAACTTCCTTCACCATAGCCACTAAGAGGAACGTGGGAGAAAAACAAATTCCAAAATTACTGGGATAAATTATAAAAAAATAATAATAATTTAATACTTCAAAATATTATAATTTTATAATAAAAAATTATTTTTTTGTTATTAAAAATAAAAAATTTCAATTCCAACTTTAATTTAAAAAATTATAATTTTTATTTTATAAATTATAAAAATTAAACAATAAATTATAATTTTTTAAGCATACTTTTATTATTAAAAAATAAATTTTAATTATAAATTTTATTTAAAAAATAAAAAATTTTATTATGTGAATTATAAAAAATTAAATAAAAATTATAATTGATCAAATATAATTTTTATTATTGAAAATAAATTTTAAAATAATAAATTTTATTTATAAATTATAAATTTTAAAAAAACTTATCAGAATTTAATAAAAAAATAATTTTTTATTGATTGTAAAATGATCTTTTTATTAAAAAATTATTAAATTATAATATTTTAAAAGATAATGTTGTTGTTTATATAATTTCATTTACATCAATTAGATTTTTTTTTGTCAAAATAAATATAAATATAAATATAAATATTTCAGCTGTGGCTGGAACGGGATTCATAGCGAAGGATGTAACGTTCGAGAACTCAGCGGGAGCGAGCAAGCACCAAGCCGTGGCCCTGAGAAACAGCGCAGACCTATCCGCATTCTACAAATGCAGCTTTATCGGATATCAAGACACCCTCTACGTCCATTCCCTCAGACAGTTCTATCGAGACTGCGACGTCTACGGTACCGTCGACTTCATCTTCGGCAACGCCGCCGCTTTGTTCCAGAACTGCAACTTGTACGCACGCAGGCCTCTCCTCAACCAGAAGAACATGTTCACCGCTCAGGGCAGAGACGACCCTAACCAGAGCACCGGCATCTCCATCCTCAACTGCAAGGTCGCCGCCGCCGAGGATTTGATCCCCGTCAAGTCCTCGTTCAAGACCTACTTGGGACGCCCCTGGAAGCCCTATTCCAGGACGGTTTATCTGAAATCTTACATAGAGGATCTGATTCAGCCCGCCGGGTGGTTGGAATGGAACGGGACCCTGGGTCTGGACACGCTGTACTATAGGGAGTTCATGAACAGGGGTCCTGGCTCTGATACGCGGGCCAGAGTCGGATGGTCCGGTTTTAGGGTCATCAACTCCTCCGCCGAGGCTTCTCAGTTCACGGCCGCCCGGTTTATTCAGGGAAATGACTGGTTGAATTCCACCGCCATTCCCTTTTACCTTGACCTCAGCTGAACTTTCTTCTTCGTTGTCAATTGAGTGTCTCCTATTCTCCAGCTCCGAGTACAAATTCTTTAACCGCAAAACTAACGCAGTCCGATCGGTTTCGGTTGGAATTGATAGTCCAAGACATTAAATTAGTTGTATTTTAAGTGCTTATGGATGGATCCTAGGCCCAATTGGTTACAGGCCCAAACTTGTTATCCAATCCGCATCCGAAAGGAATGTTTTTAATTGTAGGAAATGAAAGGTGGTGGAGTAATTAAAAGAGTGGGAAAGTTGTATCAAAAAAAAAAAAAAAAGAGCGGGAAAGTACATGATGAGGCGATGTACGAACGTTCACAGAGGACTCAACGAAGCCGGTCAGAGTTCACACTGAGACGTCAGACATGGGCGGGCCCGCTCTCTGATGCTTGACCAATTATGTTATGGAATATGGATGACCAAGAGGCAAAATAATAATAAACCACGTTTAAAAAAAACGATCATGGCTTAACTTAATCAGGCCGCGGAAAGAAATTTTGAGATCTAAAACAAAATCATGAGCAAAACTTGGCGTGTGCTTTTACTTTTTATAAATCATAAACAAAATTTTAACGGGGTTTAAAGTTCCCACCTTAATGGCATAAAGTCATGAACACCTTGATACTCATCTTTGGTAATGCTTTAGAATAAAAAAATGGGATGACTAGATTGAAAGGGAGTTTAGAACAAGATGATGCAGTGTAAATTAGTATATCATAGATCTCGTTATTTATTTTAAATAAATAATTAACAAGCTCAACACAATAAGTAATGTTATATTGTAAATTATGAGAGTTTTTCAACATGAAGAAATATTTTTTTATTCTCTTTAATTATATGCAATTAAATAAATAACAGTACAAATGTACACACATGTATATAATAGCTACGGCATGTAGGAAATTTTACAGGGGTCCTAAGACAATTATCTCATCCGCCCTGCTGTTTGCACGGCCCTGGTTTAATATTTAACATTTAATAATATGCGATTGAATTCTGTTGCATATTATCGGCACAGCAAATCAGTCCCTCAGGGAAAAAAAGTGAGATTTTAGTTTACTGTGAGTTTTCTGCTCTATTTGAGTTGATAATCTTCGATTCTGAGATTCTGTCTGCATACGGAGAGTATGAATTCCGTGTGACGGTTTTTTAACGGAAAAAATACAAAAGTCCCCGTGGAAGGCATAGTTTTGTCAATTTATAACGGCTACGGTTAGCTTCGTCGTCAATCAGACGGAGAGACCGCCACCTTGAATGTCGAGCTGGAAAGATGATACGAAGGGTCACAAAAGTCTTGAAAACTAATAAATGAAGTGTAGTTGTTTGAAGATCAGTAGAGATAATAAAGACCACGAGGAGCAGCTCATGCAATTCTTATGAACCCTGGGCCTACAGAATGAGCATCTTATCTGCAAGGGAAGCTGGAAAATTAATATTTGGAGAAGAAAAGAGGGAGGATATATATTGTCCAGACCCACAAGCAAGCTATGGAGGGCAAGGGAGAGGAACGTGGTGTCAGCTTTGTGAATCATCCATGAGGCCAATAACGAGTGATGTATCGACTTTTTGTATTGCCAGAGGATGCGAAGAATTTTGGGAACCACGTGCATGTGTTGCCCCTCTCTGCATTCCCTTTCATCATTAAGTTTGCTCCTTTCACCCCCCCAATAAAAGAATCAAATTCGTGTTTATATTTTTTTGCTCTTCCATACTTTTCTGACTCCATTTCTTGCTTCCCTCCTTTCCATTTCATATGCCCCCTTTCAACCTTGTTTTGCACGGTTGAGCCCGTTCTTCTTCCTTTTCTGCCAGCCGTCTCGATTTTCTTCCCCTTGTCTGATTTCATTCCGCAAAGGCATAAATATTTCAATTTATTCACTCAATTCTATCTAGTTACTCACTCTTTTAATAATTGAGCAGTATGGTAATTTCAGATATTCATTAGTGACCAGGCCCCACCAAATAATTCTGCATTGGATAAGCACTCCAATCATCCACGGAGAATCGTGGTGCAAAGTTATTGTTTTTGTTTGTAGTTGAAAAACAAATACCAGTGTGTTAAATATGCTAAATCTCAATAGATAATGAAATGAATCTCAAGTTTCTTTATTACATTTCGTTTGAATGTAAAAAGATAGTAGACTTTAGTAAAACAAATGTATAATTTAATTGAAGTGTTTAAAAATTACAGACTAAAAATTAAGAATTGAAAAGGGTTAGTAAATGTAAATTATACGAGTCTTAATCGAGTGTTGACTGAATTTCTCTGTTTTTCTTCTTTCTATTTATAGTTTCTAATAAGAAAAACCTTTTCTTTGAGACTTAGCATATTCTACTGAAAAATCAGATATCCCGCGAAACTTATAGCACGGTCTCTTCATTTTAATAAATAACCTGTTTCACTAAACTATTTGGGAGTAGATTTTGGCATTACCTATGATCGTGTTTTCGTCTTAACGGTCTAATATTTGAAATTGATGGAATTTCGACATGTTTATTTATTGTGAACTTTATTGAGCTTCAAAGCCTGCCTTTTTTATTTATATTAGGCTTGACGTTTCAATTACTCAACCCAACTAACCTCGTGATCTATTTGAGTGACGTTTCATATTTAGTCCAAACAGTTCTTCACATGCTATATATCTGTATGTATTTTCCCCGAGCCAGTTTTAAGATATTTCAGTCTTATATTCTGATGACATGTAGAAGGGAAATGCGTGTCGAGCAAATGACCGCAACTTGATTTGATGAAAACGCAGCAGCTACAAGAACATGATTGAACTCGAGTGAATAAAATAAGTAGGGAAGGGAAGCTTACAAAGTGTAGAAGCATTGTCAGAAGTAAGGGTGGGGAGAGATGTGACCAAAAGGTCAGAAGGGGTCACTGAAAAGAAAAGCTTATCCGATGCTGTGAATGGGCCAACACGGACCCTTTCATCGCTTTGGGATGAAAATGTGTAGTCGAGACAGCACAAAGATTGAGTGAGTGTTAGTCTGCTTCGCCTTTTCTGAGTTCTTTAATCGTTCATCACTGACCGCTCTCTGCTCTCGGCTATGGCATGGGCATCTTCTCTGCTCTGCTTCCACGCACCTTGGACCTCCTTCCTTCTTTCACCAAACACTTGACGTGTCTCCCTTCAGAGTAATAAATAATGCCCCCAAAGAGGCATTTACCCTCTGTTACACATTGTTGTTCTATTCTAAAAGTTACAACTAAGGACCACAACACTTTAATAAATCGTTGTTTTTTCTTTAAATAATTATTTGCCCGCTGAGCATACCGGAATCCGGAGGATTCGTTCTTCGTCCGTGATGAAAGCATGAATGGTTGTGATTTTGATTTTCTTCATTTATGCGTGTTTTCATCAAGAGAGGAGAGTATCAGAGAGTATAGCCACAGTGTAGAGAATGTATTTTGGTACCTACGCCATCCATCCAGTTTAAAACAATAAAACCTATAGAACATTTTTAATCACTCCTCCCTTACTGTGCATAAAGTATTTTTAACTAAATTACTTGTATCAATAAAAATTTGTTTTTGGTTGAGATAATATAATACCATGATGATTTTCAGTTGGACAAAACTTATCTATTTAGCTTCATATACTCAATATATTTTAGTCTAATCAAATCAACACGTGAACTTTAATGTATTAACAATACTAATAATAAGAATTTGTGACAGAATAAATAATATATAAAAGATATATGTATGTTTTAATTTAATTAAAAATAAATGTCTTAAGCATATAAGGATAAGTATATATAAGTTTTTTTCTTTTCCATTTTACCTATAATAATTTCACAATTAACATCATGATAGCAAGTAAAACTCACAGTTAATATCTCTTTTCTTTTTTAAGAAAATAAGGATAAAATTATTTAATTATTTAAAATTATTATGAAATTTATGATATAAAAAAATAAACAAAATTTTTCAAAAAGAAACTTTATATAGAAGAATAGAGAAAGGAATAAAATTACATTTGTAAAAAAATTTAATGCTATGAATTTTTTTTAAAGAAAATATCATACATTTTGAATTAACACTAACACATAAAAAATGTCATATATTTTAAATACCAGAGAGTGAAATTTTACTTACAAGCTTCTTTTAAGTTTGATCTCCTTTTAACTATATTTTTATATTTGCTTTTGTAAAAGCAAAAGGATGAAGAGCCTTAATTTTGACCAACTTGTCTTTTGACTTACAAATAAAATATTAAAAATAAGACTATTTTAAAGATTAATGATTAAAATTATAGTTGAATTGATGATAAATTAAAAATTTTATTAAATTAATTAAAAAAATAGTTTAATAGTCTAGTTCGACCGGATTTACGTAATAGATGAACTATGACACTGGTTGAATAAGGTACTTTTGGCTGAATGGCTCCCTTTAATCATATCTCGTGCTTACGTCTCTATAACCTGACGATTAATGGCAAGACGGGAGAAAATGAAAGACATCCTAATTAATTCCCTTGATTGGCTTATTAGCCTGCAGCTGCAACTGCAGTGTTCTGCACGGCGACCCAGACATCTCTCCGAAATTCCCAAGTGTTATTGAATAAGAATGGATTAATTAATTGATTAAAGCCAAAAAGACGAGTAGGAGCATGTGGAGCCAATTATTGTTGTACCCGAGAAGCAGGACGTTGCAGAGTGCAGAGTCCGTTTTTGCTTTATAAATACATGGCTTTGAGCCGAGAGGCATTGCGGCTGGAAGCAGGTGGCAGGTTTGTTGCTGGTTGGTTGGGTCGACATTATTACTTTTGGGCACTTCACTGTCACTATGCCTCTCTTCCTTCCCTCCCCTGCTCTTCTGCTCCTTCTTACCCTCTTCTCCGCCACTCTGCTTCCCTGCCGTGCCGTCCCTCTCCGCCACAATCACCCTCCTCGCCACCTCCACCACCCTCATCTTGCCACTCACAACTACAGAGATGCTCTCTCCAAATCCATTCTCTTTTTTGAAGGTCAGAGATCAGGGAGGCTCCCTCCCAACCAGAGGATGACCTGGAGGAGAGACTCTGCTCTCTCAGATGGCTCTGCCCTTCATGTACTTTCTAAATCTTGTTACTCTTATTCTTTAGCATTTCCAGTCTTCTCTTTGTATTCTTGTGGGAAATGAAGGCGGGGGTTGCTTACATCTGTGTAACTAACAATGCAATGTAGGTTGATTTGGTTGGAGGGTACTATGATGCTGGGGACAATGTCAAGTTCGGTCTTCCCATGGCATTCACCACTACCATGCTTTCCTGGAGCGTGATTGAGTTCGGTGGTCTCATGAAAGCTGAATTGCAGAATGCCAGAGAGGCCATTCGCTGGGCTACCGATTATCTTCTCAAAGCCACTGCACATCCAGACACCATCTATGTTCAGGTCGTTTCCGTCTACGGTTACTCTCACCTTTCTTGTGACTTCATTTTAAGCATCATTTTAGAATATTGACATCGTTTTGGCCTCGCAGGTGGGAGATGCGAAGAAGGACCATGCCTGTTGGGAGAGACCTGAAGATATGGATACCCCAAGAAATGTGTACAAGATTGACAGGAACACCCCAGGTTCAGAAGTGGCCGCTGAAACTGCCGCTGCTCTTGCGGCTGCTTCTCTGGTTTTCAGAAGAAGCGACCCCATGTACTCTAAAACTTTAATCAGAAGAGCTATTAGGGTGAGCCATTGATTCCAGACAACCCATTCATGGTCTAATAGAAGCCTTAATATGCATAAAATCTCGGGTTTTGGTTATTTTCTGGGCACAGGTGTTCCAGTTCGCTGATAGATACAGGGGATCCTACAGCAACGGCTTGAAGCCCATCGTGTGCCCGTTCTACTGTTCTTATTCTGGCTATCAGGTTAAGTGTTAATCTCTATTGAGTTGTGCAGGAAGTTTGTTTTCCGTATCAAGAGGGATGCAGAGCCCAAGTCTTTGTTTGATGTCCCTGAAAACATTGTAGGATGAGCTATTGTGGGGCGCTGCTTGGCTGCACAAGGCGACGAAGAACCCAATGTACCTGCATTACATACAAGTTAATGGACAAACCCTTGGGGCCGCAGAGTTCGACAATACCTTTGGGTGGGATAACAAGCATGCCGGAGCCAGGATACTTCTAACTAAGGTCCCATTTTCATCAACTTCCCATTCTAACCATGGCCCCACTTGCATAGTGACGGTATTAAACTGGGGTTTCTTGAATTCAGGAATTTCTTCTTGAAAGGGTGCAATCCCTCCATGAATACAAGGGTCATGCGGACAATTTCATCTGCTCTCTCATTCCCGGAGCTTCTTTCTCTTCAACCCAATACACTCCTGGTAAGGTCCCCCACCCCCAAAAAAAAAAAAAAATATATATATATATATATAAATATAGAAACATCATTGTTTTTCACTGTCTTGTCCAGTTTCATTAATTTGTAACGGTCACTTTTTCCTCGTTGCTGCTGGGGTACTGTTTGCGCAGGTGGACTTCTGTTCAAGATGAGTGATAGCAACATGCAGTATGTGACATCCTCTTCTTTCTTACTCTTAACCTATGCCAAATACTTGACCTCATCCCACATGGTCGTTAACTGTGGCGGAGCCGCCATGACCCCCAAGAGGCTCCGATCAATTGCCAAGAAACAGGTTCCATCTCAGTACACCATGAGAGTGATTTGTATTTTCACTGTGTGGTAATCAAGTTACTTAATGAGTATGGTTTGTGCAGGTGGATTACTTGCTGGGAGACAACCCGTTGAAGATGTCATACATGGTAGGATATGGTCCAAGGTACCCAAGAAGGATTCACCACAGGGGATCGTCTCTACCGTCAATTGCTGTACATCCGGGGAAAATCCAATGCTCGGCAGGGTTCAGTGTGATGAAGTCGCAATCCCCAAATCCAAACATCCTGGTGGGAGCCGTCGTGGGTGGGCCCGACCTCCATGACAGGTTCCCAGACGAGCGGTCAGATTATGAGCAATCAGAGCCAGCCACATACATCAACGCCCCACTGGTGGGAGCACTGGCTTATCTTGCTCACTCATTTGGCCAGCTCTAGACTCAGAAACTAGAAGCACGCGATTCCCAACTCTGGAGCCGTTTCTCCGTGTTGTTATATGATTACTTTTGTGAGGTGATTTTGGGTAGTCGTGTTCCTCGGAAGCGCACGAGGTGGTTAGAGGGCAGAGGCTAGACAGCTGTGGGAGCCAGCCCCAAACCTCGAAGCACATTGTAGTGCCAAGTTATAGGTAGGATAGCTTTCTTTTATAGCTTTACGGTGTTAAATAGTTCATTGGACTTGGGCCTTGACTATTTGAGTTTAGCGGTTTACCTTGGGTGTCGTGGGTATGTTTTTATGTTTTGACTCCAGAAATAGCCGGCCGTGTGTAAGGCTGTGATATAGTAATATGGAAATCGTGAGATGCTTATTTTGTGAGCACTTGAAAGTCCCGAATCAAATCCAGGTTATCTTATTTTTGGGAGGCATTGCTGAACTAAACAATGACTTTTACGATATAACTTTTCACAGAAACTTGGAAACAGCTTATCTCCAACCGTAGGCTTTGTATCTCCTTGCAAGAAAATATGGAAATAGAACCCGTGTCTAGTAAGAAAATACGAGTACGCTGACGGGAATATAAAGTGGTGGGAAGACGGCCCTGAAAGTGGATAGCGAAAATTTTGACCGTTGAAAGGGAAGGGAAGATGCTAAAATACTAATAATTAGAGAGTTGGGCCAAAGACATTCTGGTGATGTGGGCCCAATTCTCTTCAATTTAACAACCAAGAAAAAGACGTTGCTTGAAGCATTTCCACATTTCCAATGGATGAACCCTTGAATGGGCCTCCATTTTGTTGATGGTTAAAGAGGCCGGGGGCACTTAGCATGACATGCACGCCCATTCTCTTCCGCCACGAGTCCCATTAAATATCCCTCAACAACCTGATTTCCCAGATTTTCAATTTTTTTTTTTAAACAATCTTGGAATCGATAATATCCTTAGGAACCATAAATTTATCCATTTTTGGAAGAAAAAATCCTATAAAAATTTGTTTGGTGGTTGCAGTATTTTATTTAGAAGCATGGACATCGTACAGAAATGAAAATATGATTTGATAAAATAAGATAATCATGCTTAATATCATATAAAAAGAATAAATATTTAAGCTTGGCTGGATGATAATACTTCTAATATAAAAATATATTAAAATATTTGTTATTAACTCTTTGATAATTAAAAAATGTAACTTCGATGTAAATCATGTTTAATTTTTAAGAACAAATAACCTTCAAAAATAATTGTTGAATAATAAAATACTCGACCAACCCTGCTTGTTTTCGCTCCAATTTGGTCAACCTTCACTATATTAAACCAAACACAATGCTCATTCCATTTCTTTCCACAGTTCCCATCGGGTTAAAATGCGAGTGATGAATTTATGGCGGGAAATAGAGGAATTCCGCTTCCTTGATTCTCTTTTCAATACATTACAAATATTAGAAAAACAAACGAGACGTGGAAGCCCCAGCATGACCAGAGAACAATGTCATTGTAACGCACACAGTAGCAGAACTTTATTCAGACACTACATATTCTCAGAGTGTCTTCATCCACTCATTTCAGAATTACATTGGCTGCAAATTGCCTAGGCACCGCCGATGGGTTAATTTGCATCGTCCTTTGCTGGAGGAAAAGAATTTGCCTGTGCAACACGCGGATCACGAAATTAATATTAACATGCCGACATTAATTTTGTTCCATCACAACCACACACACGAACCCAAGGCACTTGGTTACAGAAGTGGCTTGGCAACACTATTTTGGCCGGCCAAGTGGGATGAACAGTTAAATGCTTTAACAGACCACACACAGATGGTATGGATTCAAGAAGAGCATAGAGTCAAGAGATGACATGGATTCAAGAAGCATAGGGTCATAGCCCTGAAACAAAAATGAGATGAGAACGACCGTATAAATAACACTCACCAAATCACGGAACTTAAGGATGTAGAACATCTCAAGATATCGTCGAGTTTCACGCCTCTCAAGTTTGGACACGTGCTTCCAGAAACTATAAACTCCCGCCAAGGTCATGAGCCTCTCGGAATATATCTTCCATGTGTACCTGCATATGCCATGCTTAGCAACTGCATCATACAAAAATTGCGATTCCTTATTTCTTTTTTTGGGAAAAATTACCTCTCATAAATTCTTTGAAGACCACCATCAGATATTTTATTCCAATGGCCTGGGTCCTCCTTGCACCGTTGGAAGAAATCAACCAATACTTCAGAAGCTTGGTCAGGGTGATAAGGATCAATGTGAAATCCCGATACGCCATGCTCAATTATCTCAGCAGGACCACCATGGCAAGTAGCAAACGTGGGCAGCCCACAAGTCATGGCCTCCACAACTGTCAGTCCAAAAGCTTCATAGAAAGCAGGCTGTGACAAGAGAGCTAAGGTTAAGAATCATATCTGAGAGGTCAGGCACCAAAGCATAGACTTCTTTTATAATACCTGAACGAAGGCACCTCTGGTGTCTGCTATATAGCGATAAAGCTCACCATTACGTGCCCTGTTTGTTTGGGCAGCTATCCAACGAAAATCACCATCTAAATTATATTTCTTCATGAGATCATGCATCTTCTCAATTTCTGTAATTTCTTCTCTGTCCCTGGACTTCTTTACATCAATATAGCCAGCCACCACAACCAGGTTGACCAGTTCCCTCAATTTGCTGTTCTTACCATAGCTTTCTACCAAGCCAGAAATGTTTTTCACTCGGTCTAACCTTGCCATGGAAAATATTATGGGCTTTGACCGATCTTTAAGTGTACCACTGCCACAACAGAAACAAAAAATTAACTTTAGTCACTGCTATCAGCAATCTGGCCCATCATAATTACTTCTGTAACCCCGGACTTTTATCTAGAAATAATCCCAATTAATAATCTGTCTGGTTGTACTCACATGTGCTCATCAGTCTGCTCAGGATCATATAACAGCTGTTCAATTGAACCATGCAGGGCAGTCAATCTTTTCTGCTTTTCAGAGTAGGGAAAGTAGATGCTCATATCTGCCCCAGGAGAGACAATATTGAACTTAGGATCAAAAACATCAATGCCATGAACAACCCTGTAGAGCCCAGGAAGAGTAAATGCACTGTGGCTCTCATATTGGCCAACAGTATTCTTCCTGAAAGAAGTTACTGTCAGTAATCAGTAGCATTAGTTAGCATGAAGGAGAACTTGCATCTTAAAATCCCGAAGAAGAAGAAGTAGAAGTAGAAGAAAAGAAAAGGAAAACATGGAAAGAACAAAAAGCTAGTAACAGTCATAGGCATGTGATATGAACTGGTAAACTTGATGCTTGGTAAGATTTTGAGAGGTGGATATGTGAGAGGGTGAAGAGCCCAGACAGAATCAGAAACTAAATCTATCATTGGCATGGGTTTCCATGAGCAACAAAATAGAGTCACCATAAATTGTTCAGGAAACTTAAGACGCCAAAGTACTCTACAACAAACCCAGAAGCCAGAAATTTGTTTCTTGGACAAGCTGCACATCCCTCCACAAGTAATTAAAATAGGGTATGCCGTACTCCACAAATACATTGTTAAATAATCTGTGCTACTACTTTCATGTTGATAACCATTAGCTCATATAAAACTGACAGGATTGAGAAATTACGTAAATATAATATAATTGAGCACAATAATGGGGGTAAAATCATAAAGTGAACCATCGCAGATCCTCGAGTAGAATAGACTTACGTTCCTGCAATCTCTTGATATGTACTAGTGATGATAAAGTCAGCATTGTTCATTGCTATTAGGTCAGCAGTGAATTGGCATGAAAAATGATACTTCTCCTCAAATTTTTTCCAATATATATCTGAATCTGGATATTTTGTTTTCTCTAGTGCATGCGCAATTGTGCACTGCAAAATATGAACATTTGCATCTAGTAAATGGCGATCTCATAAGACAATAATTTGAGCTCTCTGATTTTGTATAGCTTAGTAAGAGGAAAATAAAGAAAGATAAGAACCTGTGTCACTCCCATCTTAGAAGCTAATAAAGTCGCAACAAGGTTTCCATCACTGTAATTTCCAATAATGAAATCAGGATAACCCTGTAACTCAGCAGCAATTTCACTAGCAACATCCTGTGTAAGTGCGACCAAAAGTATTGGATTGGTAAGGCTAGCAAATTTTGTATATTATCTTTAAATATCAGAATCCTAAAGTAAGCTAAGAAAGCACAAAACTCTAAAACAGTTCAAAGTTGGGGTCAATTTTAAGTTATCCACGGTCAAAGACCAACCTCTGCATAAGTCTCCAGATAAGGCCACACATCAAACCTTGAGATCCATTTACGAAGAATTCCTGTATGTGATCTGAAAGGAACTCGCAAGATATGAGTGTGTTCAGTACCACTAACTCTTTCTAGCCGCTGATTGCAGGTTGTCCCCTTTGCATCAGGTATCAACCTGGTAACCTTGAGACAGTAAAAATAATTATATAACTAAACAAAAATCATCTATAAATGCTATTCCAAATCAAAGAAAATGACCCAGGATAACACTCTTACAATTAGAATTCTTGGAGTGAAATCTAGTCCTTGCTTCTGGATTCTAAGAAGCATCTCGTTCTCAAGGGCACGCACTTGATCCAATATATAAACAACCTTCAGATAGAAAGCTTTTTTTTAGGAAGATGCTAAGACATTGTTTCCAATGAATGCACGAGCCAAAATGTCAGAAGTGACTAGAGAAAATAGAACTAGTATTATGCTTCATGAGATTTACCTGCCCACCAGTGTCAGGCAAACCCAAGACATTGGCTTGACCAAAGTAGCCATGAGGAGATAATATAACAACATTAAACACCATAGGAACTCTTCCAAGAAAAGTCTCTAATGTAGAAGGATCAGGAGCCTGTAGAATGTCAGAGAGAAGATGCATCATCTCCATCACCCTTTCAGCAGTATCACCCCAACCTCTCTCAAAACCCATTCCTTGTAATCTGAAGTCAGAAAAGAAATCAAAGACGAAATTATTAAACTACAATGTTGTGGTGAAATCCTCACATCCTCATTCAAGCGGCATAGTGAAGACATGTAAAATGTAGGATAAGCTTACACATATTCAAACTCAGAATAGCCTGCATCAGGTTTAAGCTTAGAGAGATAATCCTCAGCCTTGACCAAAGCTGACTGTAGTTTGGAGATGCTCTGGATACGATCATTTAACATCAGTGTCTGTGCCAAGATCATCAAGGGAAAGAAAAATCAGATATGTAAGAAGATTACAGAAAATATGGAGAGAAAAAAAATGATCATTAAGCACGGTGCTGCAGAGTGGATATAAAAAAAAAAATCATGCATCATCAAATCAAATTATATCAACATAAAACTTACACCAAATTATATTTAAAGATAGAAAAATTACCCTTCAGCACAATCACTATAGTGCAAAAAGGAACTGCTAAGCACAGAAAACTAAAAAACTTACATGCCCTTTGTATGTGTGAAGTCTGAGGAAATCAAGTAATGGCTCCAAAGAATCCTTGTTCCGAAACATAATTGACGAAAGGTGACGGTTGAGAAATTGAACACCATTGCCAATGGACGATGATCGAGATGGACGAGGAAATGAAGCATTGAATGGTTCAAAATCAAGCTCCAATACAAAAGTGCCATGAGTCCTAACAATATATAAAATTAGAAAAGAAAAATCAATATGTTAAGAGATCACAACCCCAGATCAGAACTTCAAAAAATATGCAACCTCAGAAAAAGTGAAGTAATAGATTTCTTACGTTCCATCTACAAGTTCCTCTTTGAAGTGAAGATATTCAGGGATACTCAATTGCTCCACACTGAGTTCATAAACATTAACACGGACATATTCCCAAACACCAGGTCTTGGACGAACTGCAATTGCCACAAAAGGAGGGAAAACTATGGCTTCCTATCAGCAAAAAAGAAAAGAGGAAATGCAACATATTTTAGTCAAATGCAGTGACCTTTAGAAAATTGACTGTTCCACAAGCTAGAAACCATTAATTTATAGGTTGTGATTAATGATACTCAGAGTCACATTAGGGACAAACTTCATCGTGAAGCATGTATAAAATGGGAACCAGCTAACTTGTCATTGTAGAAAATATGACAAAAGAACTCACTTAGGTCAGATGGGAATGCATTTGAAGTTCACTTGTCAACCATAAGTTCATACTTACAGTTTAATTAGTGAAATTTAAGCTGAAGGTTCATCAAATAGGGTACTTTTCCGGGGTTTAGGTCTGGATTTCCTGGCAGTTATTAAGCGGAATTTCACTAAGATGCCACACTTTCAGCAACTACATATAGCATTCTAATCGTAATTAATGGTATGCGGTCTGACTCAGACAGATTCTACAAATAAATAATGTTTTGTCGGAAACATCGCATAAACCTGGCATAACTTTAAGTACATGTATGGGGACCAAAGTAAGTCTGCCGAGAGTCATATGACATCTGGGGTGACTAATACAATTTAAAACCAAAGTATAGTAGTTCAAGTAACCTGTGCGGACTTGAGGATTTCGCCGAAGGGACCATTTTTAAGATCCTGTGATGCTTCATCCTCGCCGAGGATGCTTTCGAGCTCATCAATCAAATTATGGGGTTGCAAAATCCGTTTTCCCTGAGCCACATACCTTCAAACGCAAAATGCAACTATCAATAAACCGAAATCCACAAGTATTATCTTTTTTTCTCACCAAGATGAAAGAAAGAGGGAAAAGGAAAACTCAAAACAGAGACACGCCTGAAATACCAAACCCATCATAAGACCGCAAGACTTCGTGTTTTCTTTCATCTCACTAACATAGTTACACAAATTAAGAAATTTTAACACACAACTTTGCAAATTTCAGCACCAAAATCTGTCACCCTCGGGCAAAATTGTAAAGTACTCAAAAGTTAGACACGGAAGATACAAACTCTCTCATTGGACAACGACTTGAAGATCGCATCGGTAGAAGAAAAAGAACGCTTCTAGTTTCTCAGGTTTTCTCAAAACTATTTGAAGATACAGGATTGAACTAGTAGGAAAAGAACCATGATGAATAGTTTAGAAAAAAAATGTTGAAAAGTAAATGCAAAAGATGGATGGCACATTGAAAAAGTTGGTAAAAGCACTTGGGGAGTGGGGGAGGTTGATGGAGGAGGAGAGGGTGATTGGAACCTGGAGAGGAGAGCGACAAGTTCGTTGCGATGCGCAGAGAGAGTATCCTCTACTCGGTCTCTGATACTGGGAACTCGACTAAGCTTGCGCTGAGACATGATCGGTATCTCCTTGCAGGACCGACAACTCTGAGGAAGTGCGTCGCTGTGAGTTGAGCGATCAAGAAAGAAGAAAGATATAAAGTGAGAAAAGCTAAGCAGATTTTTCGTCGAAGTGGGAAATGCTACGTGTTAGTGCCAGAAGAGGCGAATTTAGAGAAGCCGCCTGGAAAGAGAAACAAGAGCGAGGGAGGAAGGTGATCGCGACGTGGCGGACGGTGATTATTTTCATCAGATTAAAATGTATAACACTGTCATAAACTTTGACACAGTTATATAACCTCATATCTTTAAAATTTTAAAATTAAATCCTTAATTTTTTAATTTTATTTTTTAAAATATTTCACTGTCAATTATGTTATTTTTTATGAAGGTTAAAATATTATTTAACTAAAAAATATTACATTATATAACTATTTATAATAAAAAAATTTATTTTTTGAATAGTTGAAACATTGATAATAACTAAAATAAATGTTATTATCATCATATAAAATTTTAAATATTTACCTTTGTGTTATTTTTTTTTCATTTTTTTTATTATCAATAATGCATAGTTTTCTAGTATTAAAAGATAACATAATTAATAACAAGAGTTTTGATTTTATTTAATAATATTTTTTAGTTGAATGATATTTTAACCCTCATAAAAAATAACATAATTAATAATAGGGGTTTTAAAAAATAAAATTAAAGATTAAGGGGTTAATTTTAAATTTTTAAAATTAAGAAGAGTTATATGCAATTATTTTAAAATTCAAAAAAGTTTTATGTATTTTAACCTTTTTGTTAAAGAGATAAAAATTAAAATTAAAAATTTACTTTATCATGCTACCTCCAACTACAGAATAGGTTAAGGATATAGAGTACATTTAAAAGTTTATAATTGAATGAAAAGAAATGATCATTAATAAAATAAAGTGGAGTGAAGTAGAATAAAATAAAATTTTTTATTGTTTGAATGTTTTATAATGTGAAGGAATAATTTTACATTATTATTATTTGAAAATTATAAAATGAATGAAACATAATGGTTTAAAATTTTTTTCTTCCAACATTACCCATATGACTAAATTTAAATAAAATAATAATGCCTGTTAAATAATTATAATATTTATGCAATAAAAAATAATAATAATTAAAACTAATGATTAAATAAGATATTCAATAATTAAGAATAAAGAGTGAAAGCAAGTAATAGGACTATTATGCAAGCATTCCTATTGCACAAGAGGAAAGCACGACAGAATTGTAGTGTTGAAAGGCACAATAGAGAGAGAAGGCAACAACAAGATGCATATGGCTGGAGGTATGATTATGCACTATGATTGAATGCCCAATTAACCGAACCTTACACAAATCATTTGGACACATGGGGCCAAGCATCGACAGGGGTCAAATTTTGCATTACCCAAACATGTGAAAGTTTTTTTTTTTTTACTTTTTGTGAATAACATTTATCTTGTGGCATTATTTTTTATTGAAAATTATCATAGATTATATTATTTTTATGATATTTTAAAAAATTCTTATTATTTTATTTTTTTAAATCTCTTTCAAAATTTAAATTTTATTTTTAACTTATTATTATGTAAAAATAATTGCCAATTGTTTTTCATTTGAACTTTTGAAAAGTTACTTATAAAATTATTAATTTTATGAAGAATATATTTTAAATAATGATGATAATAATAATTTTTAAGGAAAACTTTTTCATATACTTTTCAAAAAATACTTGTCAAATTATCTCTGAGTCAACCAAACTAGCTTGGTGCCCAAGTGCACATTGGGCTGAGCATCGAGCTGGGGTGATGCTGGAGCTAACCTTGCCCATGTGTAACCCTAGCAAAAGATGAGAGAGATGGTTGGATAATGAAAACAACAAATAAGATTTTTTATTAGGATAAAAGGCTGAGAGTAATTTTGTAAATGAAATAATTATATTATGCTACTCCATCCTTAAACCTCAGTTTAGGGAGATAAAAAATATTGAGTTATGGATGACAAAGGAGAGCTTTAGAGGCCATTCCTTGCCATTCCATCCTTCTTTTAAAAAAATTCACAAACAACGGCTTTGACTAAACTTTGAAATTCATAGCCTTCATGATTTATTTATGAAACATTAATTGTTATATAGATCAAGAATTGTTAGGCTGGCATGCCATGCATGAAAGAAAGAACCAAATCATCTTAAATGAAAAATCAATAACCCATATCAACCAGAAAAGCCAGAGAAGAATACAACCCATAATACAAAGCTAGAAAAGCCAAAGAAGAATAATTCAGGCTCATTATGGATGAGGTTATGAGACGTGAGGGGGAATTTATCAAGAATCATATCAATACCCAATTAGTCATCACCATTGACTTCGAACAATAAAGAGAATTTAAGAAAATTTTTGCAAAAAATAACAAAAATTACATAGGGTTTTTCAAAACCAAGAGTCCAAACAATGAAGTGCGTGTCATCGCTTGATTTGGGTTCAATGGTACTTGAAGATCACTCAACGCTTGATTTTTCAGGTATCAATCAAGGAAGAAGCAAGTACTTTTTCAAGATTGAAGCGAGCAACCCAATGGGAAACAAAAAGATTGACATTGCTACTTCTTAAATTGGCATTGCTACTCATCACTAAGACACAAATTGATGTCTTTCTTCTTGATTCTCTCTGCTAACCATCACTAACATAATGCTCATATCAACATCGCTACTCAAACAAAACTCACAAGCCTGCTTTAGCTCATATCTTAATAGAACATCATTCTCATTCTCTTCGCATGGCTTCAATGGAACGATTGCCAAAACATGATAAGAGAACTTAGAGAGAAAGGTGCATGCGAGTTAGGTTCGATGAGTAACCTGGAAGAAGAAGGAGCATAGGAGGAAAAATAATGAAGACACGTGGTAATGTGGGAAATTCTCATGCGTGGCATTCATTGTTAACGTGTGAGGAGGGAGGACACATTAGCAAGGGTAAAGAGGATGACTATCACATTAATATTTTATCATACCTTACAAAGTCAATAGTTAACCATGGTTTATCTATAAGGTAACAGTGGGGGCTAATTTGTTCTCAATTTTAAAGTTGAAGGAAGTTTTTGCATATTTTAGTAGTTTAAGGTTTAAAATGTTGGTTGCACAATAATTCAGGGTTTATGATACTCATTAACTCTTTGGATTTTGATTAAATAAACCTAAGCTTATGGCCTGAAACTTGTATATATATTTTTTTATATAGCTCAAGCTCAACCAAAGTTTGACTTAGTCTGGAAGCTTAACTCAAAAATAAATCTTTTAAATAAGCTTACGTGTTAGTTTTAAATATTTTAAACATGCTTTGAGACTATTAAAGTCTATATTTATATAACGTGATTTATCAATTTTAACATATAATGATTAAGATAACTCACCAACTACAATATAACAATAAAATGATAACATTAAAATTAATATATAAGTCCATTATGATTGAAAACATAAATAAAAATAAGAAAATAGATTGAATAAAAAGCAAATTATGAAATTGACGTATGTGTAATATATTGCATAATAATATATATGTAAATAGGTCGACTTGTGAGGCTTGAAAGTTAAATATTATAAAAATAAATTTGGTGTATTTAACTAAATAAGCCTGCTCAAGGTCTAAACTTGGTCCAAGTATGTTGAATAAATAGATTAGATTGGGCTTAAAATAAAGGTGTAGCCTCCTTAATAGGAGACTGGCTTATCGTCGCCCGTTCCTCCATCCCATATTACAAGAAAACTTTTGAGGTATTTCACTATTTTAAAATTTAAGGCAATTTGATAAAAATATGATTAAGCGTATGAAGATATTTTTAAAAGTTTATAATTTTATTTTAAAAAGATGACCTTGTAAAGTATCATTAACTTATTGTTAAAATTTATTGGTATGCATAGCTTTGTCTCAAATTATCTTATAATTTGAGACAAGAGAAATGCTAATTTAAAGACTATAGTATGATTTGGTGCTCTAACATTATATAAGATCTCAATTTAATTCTTTAATTTTATAAAGTACCTTTTCAATTATCTAACCCTAACACTATTAATTTCAAATGATTCTTATTTTTTTTATGTCAATCACTGTCATTTTAAAAATATTAAACTTAATATGTTAACATTTGATCATGTTTTGTTGATATTTAAAAATACAATATAAAAAATTAATGACGAAACTAATAATATTAAGATTAAAAAATATTTTATAAAATAAAAGTATCAAAATAAAACATTGTGCGAAATCAAATAACTAAAAGTATATTGTAGCATAGTTTAAAAATTATTTCAAAATTAAAAAACGCTGATAGTTGCATTCGTTGACTGGTGATGGTAAAAGCCTGTTATAGTAGTTGAAAATGGTTACAACTAATATACAATAGTTTTAAATTTAAAAAAAAAATAAAAGCAGCTCAAAATGTTTTATTTTTAGAAGTAAGAAAAATTTTAAAAATTAAATTTAAGGCATTTACCTAAATGATGTTTTATTTTTTATTTTTTAAAAATAAAAATCAAATAGCCCCTTAATCTCCCTCCACCTTCACACATATTGATACAAACAAAAAGAATGTTTCACAAGTTTTAAAAACGAGCTGTTGAGATTCTATCTTTTTTTTTTTTTTTACTTCAGCAGCTTTTGTGATAAAAAAAAAATTGTGTGCTTTTCTGCTTATAATTGAGAGTGGAGAAAATATTACATAAACTTTGGTTTTGGTAATTACCCGTTATGTCTTATTTATAAATTGCTTACAATATATTTTATCAAATTAAGTAAGATTTTAAATTTCATTAATCCTGTTCAAAAATCTAACAAATTTTCAACTCTTTTTTATTAAATATATATCCTTTAATAATATAATTTCGCTCATCAATATTTAATTATAGATAGAATGAAAAACTTGTGGTAAAAAAATTAATAGAGTGATTTATAAATATGACCAAGAAAATTATTCTCTATTTGTGTTATAAATAAGAACAGAGAAAGTATAGTTTTTAATTGATAAATTTGTTATTTATTCAAGATGAGAGATGAACGCGGCTTTGACGTTGGGACGCTACCGGCTGCCGCGGATGAAATTGGTAAATAATAGGGAATCCAAAGATGCC